GGAAAGAGAAAATCAATCTGCATATTTGTTTGTACACAGTGTATACATAGACTATATACTACTGAATTTAGTCAGGTATATATGTATATCAGCATTAGGATTGAAATAGGGATATTGGGGAGACTGAGAGATACTGATAGATCAGAAAACACCATAACCTTCCGACCACCCCTCCACTTATATGAAAGGACAACATAACCCCCTTTCCTCCCCATCCTCCTATACTCATGAATTTTGGGTCAAAATACATTTTACACATTGAAATTTGGTGGAGAGCTTCAGATATCTGCATATGAAGGTTTAAATGGGGATCCTCTAGGAGATAACTAAAATTAAATAAAATCTTAGAAAGGGTAGCTAGGTGGGCTCAGTAGATTAAGAGTACCTGGCTTGATATGATGAAGACTCATTTTTCTGAGTTCAAATCTGGCCTCAGACCCTGGAGGGGGTGGGGGCAAGTCACTTAACCCTGTTTGTCTCAGTTCCTGCTCTATAAAATGAGCTGGAGAAGGAAATGACAAACCACTTGAGTATCTTTGCCAAGAAAACCCCAAAGAGTCAGACCTGAACAACAAAACCTTTAAAAAACAGACAGCCACCACCACAATTCCTCCCCTCATTCTTTCTATCCCTCCCTCCTTCTCCAACCTATCCTGTCAAATCCCAGAAACAAATCACAAAAAAAAAGATAGCAAAATTGAAAGCAATATCTCAGTTGTTTTTTTTTTTTAATTCTCCTCTCTTCAGCTAGGGGATGGGGTGAAAGAGAGCTGAGTTGTCTTCACTGAAAGTCCATATTTGGTCTCTGACTTTCATTTTATTTTTTCCTAAAATATTGGACCCCAGCACCTCTCCGGACCTCTGTCTTTTCCTCCATGGTTCCTTCCTGGGGCTTTCATTAAAAAAACAAATAAAACAAGCAAACAAAAACACCAAAATCCATGGGCCTTGTTCTTGGGAAAGGCCTATCTTCCCTCTGCCCAAGATCCAGAGTCATAAGTTTCTCATCTCTCCCGAAGCCTATGCTTATTGCTATCTTAAAGAGTCCTTCAACTCTGCTTTCCACAGCTGCAGAAATTTCTTGAGAGATTGACGTAGGGGCAGAAGAAGAAAAAGTACATTTCGAGGCACAAAGTGGGTGGGTGGGGTCGGGAAGCAAGGAAGAAAGGTTTGGTGGCGATGGTGGTTGATGGTTCTGGTGGTGGGTACTTAATGGGGGGCGGGGAGTGAGGGGAGAATGGAAGCAAAGGGGAGAAGAGGAGGACGAGACATTTCTTCCTCTGCCCCCAGACCTCCTCCACCTCAACGCCACCTGGGATACTCCCGGCCTAATAGCAAAGGCTGAACGAAGCGATTGGGCGGGGGTTGAACAATCCTGAGCTGGGAGGGCAGGAGGATCTGCAGAGCGGCCTTGATCTCGTTTGGCCCCACTGGGTCTTCTGGATCACCGTCCAGGCACTCCTTCAACCTGTTGGCCTCCAGGGCAATGCGGTCGAAGAGGTCTTTGACAACCGAGTGGAGGATGGTCAATGCCCCCTTCGATAGAGGGGTCTGGCCATCGGACAGCTGCTGCTTCAGCACCTGGACCACGTAGGAATCCCTCCAGGGCATCCTCCGGTGCCTCTTTCGGTGAGCTTTTTTCGGAAGTCTGCGCTGGGACATCCGGGCCTGCACTGGGGTTCCCCTCGTGAGAGTGTCGGGGGAACCGGAGGAACGATCTCCACTTTCCACGGTGCTGGTGGTTTCCTCGTCCATCGTGGTCTGATAGATTAAGATTGTGTTGGGTGGTTGGTTGGGTTTTTCCCCCCTTGATCTGCCCCAACCCTGCTAGTTCCCCGGGGTAACCTGGCTTGAAATGCGCAAGCCAGAACCTCCCGCGGCCTTTTTATACGACCCTTCCCCCTCCCCACCAGAGCTCCCCAAACACAAGTCACAATGGGAGCGCCTATGCACCATCTTGTCTCGGTGTGATGATTGGCTAAAGCAGGGCACAAAGGAAACTGGGACGCTGGGGGTTTAAACACATTCTGTTGCTAGGGCAAGAGGCATGTTTAATTTGTTTAATCTTCCAGAGTTACGCGACTCTGTTCCAGTTCCGTAGTTCATCCTCACACCCCCCGCCTTCCCCCCAAGTCCCAGCCTTCTCCCCAAGTCCCAGCCTTCTAAGAATCTCAGTCACTTTCTATGCAGGTGCAAACAAAAAGTTTACCATTCAGCCCCGTTTCTACAGGTCTACAGTTTCTGCAGATTATTAACTTCACTAGGGGATTTGGTTTTAGGTTCGGGTCCTCTCATTTCAGGCAGCTCAGGAATATAGTGCCAGGAAGCTGACGAAATAGTATTTGTTTTCTCCCCCTGCAGACAAGCCAGGTCAGGAGATAGGCAGTGGGAGCTGGAAGGAACGGTGTCTTTATCCTCTTCAGGCAGGAAAGGTTTTCTGTAGACCGGAAGATTCCCTTATAAGTGGGAAGAGGTCAGTGTAAGAAAGTGGCACAAGAAAGAATGTCATTTCTCTGATTCTCCTGAAAGCAGGAAGGCACCAGGTCAGGAGACCACACTCAAAGGAGTGGTGTTTCTCTGAGCCCCTAGAAGCAAGAAGGGACCTTTAATTCATGGAAGCAACATGGATTTGTAGTTAGACGATTTATATTCAAATACTAGCAAGTCACATTATCTCTGGGTTTCAGTTTTTTTCAACCATAAAATGTAAGGTCTCATAGCTCTAAACCCATGATTCCCTCAAACAGTATAAATCAGCATATTTATTTCCTGAGCTACAAAAAAGTTGAGTAAATCTTAAAGTTCCCACAAGGACTTTTCTAATCAATGAGTCAAAAGAATTTATTAAACACATCAGATATTGTACTGAGCAAAGAGGATACAAAGAAAGGCAAAAAAATATAGCCCCCCCCCTTAAGGGGGTACACATTCAAACTGGGGAGATAACAAGCAAACAACTACATACGTACAAGTATATACTGTGTAAACAAACAGGAGGTAATCTCAGAGGGAAGGCATTAGAAGTGGCAGGGATAGGGAAAGTCTTTTCGCTGGTGGTTTTGTGCGATTTTGAAGTTTAATTGTTCAGTGAAATTTAACAAATGCATTCATTTACTAAGAAGGCACATTTCCCTGGTCCTGTGGAGGCACATTATGTCTAGTAGAAGGATAAGACACAAATAGCAGATTATGTTCATACATAATATTATATGAAAAGGGACAAAACAATGTGAGAATTCGGACTGAGAATGTCCTGTGGGGTCCTGGGAAGAGGTCAGTGTATCATAACTTCTATTTGAATATTACAAAAAAGTACTATAGTGGTGGAAGTGTGAACAATCAAAGAGCGAATAGATCAAGCAGGGACTTCAAGAATGTAAATTTTGAGTCGAGTAGTCTTTCTTTTTCTTCCTTCCTTTCTGTACACACACACATAGACACACACACAACACACAACACACATGTATGTGTTAGATGCTTTGCAGAGAATAAGAATGTTCAGAAAAATTAAAAATACATACATTTTAGCATCCTTTATGAAATAAAAAAAATCTCATTTCTCTTGGAATCCAGTCTTCTTTACTCCCACCGTAAACACCTCAGTTCAAGTCCTCTTCACATCTTGCCATAATTATGCAATTGATTCCTAATGTGGCTCTCTGCTGCTAGTCTTATTTCTCCAATTCATACTCCACACGGATGCCTAATTGATATTCCTAAATCGCATATCTTGCAATGTCACTTCCCTGGCTCAAAAAGTTCTATTTGATTCCCTATTGTTTTGACATTCAAATCTCTATTCCATTTTTTCCAGGGTCATCGTTCTACATTCCAACTAACTTAAGTAAACTACTTCATGTTTCACCTCTGTGTCTGTGATGAACTACACTTCTCACATGCTCTATTACCTCAGAAACCCTTCATTGCTTAGGTCAACTGCCATGGATTTCCTCTTTTCTTTATCTCCCCTGCTCCCCACCACTTTTAGTATCTCTCTGTGAAGTCATTTTGGTTTTTGTATATAGTATGTGTTTGCTTCTCTGAAAACATTATTGTCCTAATAAAATGTAAATCTGTTCAAGGCAGACTGTCTTATTTTTGCATTTGTATCCATTCCATGCTGAGACAGCAAGGTGGCCCAGGGGATAGAGCCCCAGGCCTGAAGGGAAGAGTTCAGATATGACCTCTGACACTTACTAGCTGTATGACCGTGGGCCTGTCACTTAACCCTGTTTGCCTCATTTTCCTCATCTGTAAAATGAGCTGGAGAAAGAAATAACAACCCACTCGAGTATCTTTTCTAAGAAAACCACAAATGGGTCACAAAGAGTCTGATACGACTGAATAGACTGAACAATAACAAATCCCCAGTCCATAAGTGCTTACTAAATGTTAGTTGATTGATTTCATTGGGTTTGTTCATAAAAATTATAGTGCAAAATTATTTTTGTTCAATTGAGTTTCTTCTATTAGGTTTGTGAAGCTTTTTAACAAAAAAAGTTAGGAAACTGTCTTAAAGGGAAAGGTACAGAGTTTTTTCATTCGACTGTCCTTCCACTTTCCCCATCCTGGTTCACAAGCACTCAGAACACATTTTGAGCTCTCTGGCCTGGCCAATACATGACAACTCCCATGATCCCTTGCTTCTTTAAAAAAAACAAAACAACCGGTAACCTTTTGCGGCTCTGTGCGTGTGTGGGGGGGGGTATTAATTCGTGAGTCTGTTTACAAAATGAGCGGCGGACTACAATTCCCGACAACCACTGCTTAAGGTTATTGCCTAGGCCCACGTCCTCTTGCCTCCTGCCCCGAGTTGCTGTTCCGGGCTCGACACTCCTGCGGTAGCAGGGGCGGTTTTTTTCTTAAAAAGAAGCGGCGGTGGGCTCCTTAACAAGGCCTTTCTCCCCCTCTCCCGCCCCGGTGGCCTGAACGAGGGACTACAGGGGGCGCAGGCGCACACGGGGTTGGGGTGGGCGGGGAACACAGGTAAGAGGGGTAGGCGGCGAAAGAGAGAGAAACAGAGGTTGGAGGGGTTGAGGGTTTCTGTAGAGCTAAAATGCCATTTCTGACTCTTATCTCCCATGCTAGACCGAACTTTAACTAGAATGCTTCTTAGCTGCCATTTATATCCTCGTTTCAGTCTTACAGCAGGGCAGCCACCCAGCCTCTATTGTGACGTCAGAGTTATCCGCCACCGGCCCCCCCCCCCCTTTCTATATGAACTCGTATCCACAGAGCAGAAGCCTAGTAGAGGCTGCTCAGAGGTGGTGGGCCTGGCTGCTTGGAAAACTGGGGTTGGTGCCCGGTGCGGTGCTAACTTGTGATCTCTAAGTCCCCTTCCAGCTCCGAAATTCTTCCATTCCTTCATTATTTCACCCTTGTGGAAAAATCTCATTCCATTCTGGGATAAATCCAGCTCCCCCGATGCAGGCCCCTATCCAATAAATTAGTCTACAGGTCCCACCGTCCCACTGTGGCAATGTGGTGGTGTTTAGAGGGTTGGATAGGGAGTAAGAAGGCCCAGGTTCAAATGCCAGCCCAGCTACTTAATTACTGACCGTGGACAAGCAACTTTGCCTTTTTTCATTCCATTTGTGTGCCATCTTACACCTCCTCCTCCACTGGCCTTGACCTTCAAAATCAGGAAAAGGCAAAAGTTTCACACTTAAAATTTGTGCCATATTGGAAAGGCCTGGGAGAGAAATAGAATATCAGAGCCAAAAGGGATCTTCTTAGAAGCTGTTTGGTTTATGCTTTTCATTTTTTTTTCCTCTGTGGTGAGGCAGTTGGGGTTAGTGACTTGCCCAGAGTCACACAGTGTTATGTGTCTGAGGCCGGATTTGGACTCACGTCCTCCTGACTCCAGGGCCGGTGCTGTATCCACTGCACCAGCCTAGCTGCCCCTATCCTCTTCCTTTTACATATGAGGAATTAAGGCCCAGAGAAGAGACATGATATGTCCAGGTTCACAAAGCTGGTTAGTTCTTACATAGGGAGTACTTTAACTACAATCTAATGTACTCTATGTGACTTTGGATAGTCACCTTTTAGGCCTGTTTCCTCTTCTGTAAAATGAAAGCTACAGAATCTAAATAATATTTTTATCTTCTCCCCTTCCCTCATGGAGGGATTGTCTCCCCACCTTCCCAGTCCTAGGGATTCCGATGGCCGCTTCTTTGGGCTCCCAGAGGCAGAAACGAAGGGAATTGGATGCCCGCCGAAGTAAGTGCAGAATCAGGCTGGGTGGCCACATGGAACAATGGTGTCTTCTCAAGAAGCAGCTCGGTTTCTCTCTGCACTCCCAGCTTGCCAAGTTCCTGCTTGATAGGTCAGGAGGATCTCTGTTGGGCTATATAGAATACTGTGGGAGGGATTTGTAGTAGAGGTGTGAAGGGGGGGGGAAGCAGGAAGAGGAATGAATTTGGATAAGGCTGAAAGGGAAGAGTTTGGTATTATTGGTACTTTTTTAAATAAAAGTTTATTTTATTGAAGTATTTATACACAGCATTGCATCCTGTTTTCCTGGTGTTAAACTTGTCTCCTCAACTAGACTGTAAGCTCCTTTGGGGCAGGGAACATTTTTTAGGTCTTTATCCACCTCAGTGCCTACCACCTACCATGGTGCTGCTGTGCAGGTGGTAGATGCTCAATAAATGCTGATTGATTTGAAATGAGGAGCTCACCTGACTCTTACCTCCTTTCCTTCGGCAGGTACAATTCTCCAGGCTGTGTGCTCTGTGCAGGTAGGTAGGGTAGAGTGAAATCAGTTAGAGAAAGGAAAATATGTGGGGTGATGGAGACCCAAAGCTTTTACTATGGTTGAGTTAGCAACCACAAGAAACAACCAACAAACTATACTCAACAGCCAAAGTTAATTAAAATTAGTAGGTTGTATGTAAGTTTAAAGGGGATCTGCCTGAAGGGGATTCAAACATGTCTGAACTATATAGAGCAGAAAAACAACTACCAGTTAAATTAGGAATCAGGATTAGGGTTTGACATTGGTTAAATTACTTTAACCTTTCTGAGTTTATGTTAATACTTATCTGTGAGATAAGGGGTTTGAACTTGATGACCTCTAAGGTCCTTTCCAGCTCTGAAATCTATTATCCTGAGAAGAGAAGAGGAAAAGTGGCCTGGGGAGCCAGGTAATTTGTGCTAATTTTGCCATAAATGATAATTTAGATAAAATGGATGGGAGACTCCAGAAATGTTTTGTAGGGGGTGAAGGTAGTGGAGAATAGCATTCATTGTAAATATGGGCTCTCTGGAGGGTTCGGGGATAGGAAAGGGAGAGAGGGGAAGACTCTATGGTTAATAACAATTTCTCCTTTCCAGGCCCTGAGCCATCCCCCCCAGAGGGTCTCCAGTATCTGGTATTCTTGTCCCATGCCCACAGCCGTGAATGCAGCCTGGTACCAGGGCTTCGGGGACCAGGAAGCACAGAAGGGGGGCTCATATGGGAGTGTTCAGCTGGTCATACCTTTTCCTGGGACCCCTCCTCTGGCCCTGCACCCTTAGGATCCAGTCCTTCCTACATCCAACACTCAGCACTAAGGAACTGGTGGACCAAGTCTAGGAGCTGGCAAGAACATGAAGGTGAACTGGGAGGAGGGGAAAGGGGTGGTGGAGGAGATGTTTCCTCTTCTCAGCATTGGACTCTTCCTCATTTCCCCTCCTAGCACTTGTGTCGCCTCATCCTAGTTCTCTAATTTGTTCCCTGACCCCCAGTTGATCTTCTACTTTGACTCCTCCCACTCCCTTTGGCTCAACCTATTCCCTCCTGACCTCAGTGATTCTCCTCTTTGACCTCCACCTCCTCGATGACCATTTTATCTTTTTCATTTCAACTCTGACTTCTCTCCCTGTTTCATCCCACCCCCATCCCCAGCCCAGGTAACTGAGCACTATGATGGGACCCAAGAGTCTGGGATGCCCAGGTGAGTCCATGAAGAACTGGGGACAGATTAGGAATGGAGGAGTGGGGGAAAGGGTGTGAGAGATGATTAGGCTAGATTAGGAAAAAAATGAAGTGTGGGAGGGAATGAGTCCAGCCTTGACACCCCTTGGGAATGCAGGGGGGTGGCATCCCTACCTGAGACTTCCCTGTCCCATGGAGAAGACGAGGAAGAAGTAGAGGAAGAAGCGGATAATGAAGATGATAATCTCAGTGATGTCAGCCCTTGGACCTACAGCCCCTCTCCAGATTGGTAAATGCTGGATGAGAGGATAGGGATGAAGATTAGTAACCTGGGCAGACCTGGAGAAACCAGGGATGAGAGTTGACAGAGGAGTGAAGATATTTAAAATGTAAGGTCTAGGAAGACAATGAAGAGAGAAGTTCTCTATAGGAAAGACTAGGAGGAAGGTTAAGATGGTTGTCTGGAAGTACAGAGGGCTTGAATGATAAGGAAAATTTGAGAAGAAAAGCTTATCAGGGAACTCTTGTGGAAATGATATCAAAGTCCTGCAGTAGAGGTTGATGGTAGGGGTGAGAAAAGGTAGTGGAAGAATTTTAGAGGTGGGGTGGGGCTGATGGGCTGATCAGAGACTGAGGAGGGTAGGAGTGGGGGTCTAATATTCCAAGTTCAGGATTTTGACACTCAGTGTGTAAAATATAGAGGGAGATGATGGGGTTTAGGTGACAGGGAGTGGTTAGTCATCTGATATCAGTCAGCTAGCATTTATTAAGTGCCTACTATGTGTGCCAGGCACTGTGCTGAGTGACTGTCCCTTCCCTACCAGTGAACTAGGTACATCTAGTCCCCTTCCACCTTACCTCCCCCCACTCAAAGAAGAAGAAACAACACTTCCACTCTCAAGTTCCCCCACTGCTGATTCATCAGAAACTGGAACACCCCATCCTGAAGATGACAGAGTACAGCTTGAGCTAGACAGAATACCCCAGTTGGGCCAAGGGAGCAAGACCCAACCCAGGTAAAATAGGCAGTAAACAAGGGAGGGCATTCTGGCAAGACTCCCTTCCTGTGGAGCTTCCAGTGAAGGGCTGGAATAGATAACTTCTTCCTCATTTCTACCTCTGGAAATCTGTGATTCTTTGCTCCCCATCTCCCTTCCTTCTTCATTCTCAAAGCAGACGACGACGACAAGGACCTCCTCCCGTGCCTCTGGATGAGGACATAGCACAGATTGGTCCCAAGAGGATCAGGTAAGATTGATGAGGCTTGAGGATAGAGGGAGAAAGGTAGGGGCGATAGTATAGACAGCCTGGGAAAAACCTCATTTTCCTGCCTTGTCTCCCTTCAGAAAGGCTGCTAAAAGAGAGCTCCTTCCTTGTGATTTTCCTGGCTGTGGGAAGATCTTCTCCAACCGACAATACCTGAATGTGAGGCATGGAGAATGGGATGCTGGGTGGGAGATGGGATGGAATGGTTTGGGGAGGATGGGGTTAGGGGATTAGGGTTTGGGATTGAGGGGGAGGACACTGGGAAAGGAGAAATACCAAGATTTTAAAAGCTTGCTTAAAATATATGGCAGTGGCAGAAGAGTTGATGATGTATTGTGTTGTTAGAATACCAACACTATATAATAGTTGTATTGCACTCACAGGTTTACAGAGTGCTTTACATGTAATATTATTTGGTCCTTACAAAAACCCTGTGAGGTAGGTGCATTATTACACATTTTATAGATGAGGAAACAGATTTGGAGAGGTTAAGTGATTTTGTCCATTGCTACAGTTAGCATCAGAGGCAGTATTTCAACTCAACTCTTCCTGACTCCTACCAGCATTCTATCCACTCTGCCACACTGCCTTTTGAGAAGCACTAGATTTGGAGTCAGATCTCAGTTTGAATCAGAAATGTGCTATTTACTGTGTGACCCCCAGGGAAGTTAATGTATCTTTCTGGATACACTTCTTTATTTATACGAAAATGGAGTTAAATGAGATTATTTGAATTCTGTGATTCTATGTCAACAAACAGACTTTGTGCAAACAGGCAGAAAATCTAAGCCAAAAACATAAAATGTTTACAGTATCATTTCTTAAAGCTATAATCAAGTAAAATACCTTAGGACTTGGTGGGAAGAAGAATGCCAGTGTCCTGTGATATGTCAGAATAGAAATCCCATTGAGATGGGCAAATGGGAAGTATAGTAGTACTATATGTAAAAGACATCGTAAACAATAATAGGGTTAACATCGGTTCTTAACCTGGAGTTTGTAAACTTGTTTTTTTAATACAGCTAACATTTATGTAGTACTTTAAGGTTTTCAAAGGGCTATACAAGTATCATCTCATTTTGTAATATTTAGATAACTATTTCAGTATAACTGGTTTCCTTACAGAGTTCCTTTGTAAATCTATGTTTTTTTATTTTATTAATTTAAAAATGCACCTAGAAGGGGTCCATAGGCTTCATCAAACTGTAAAAGGGGTCTAAGACACAAGAAAGGTTAAGAACCCCAGATCTAAGTGGATAAAAAAAAATCAGTGGAATCTTTGTGGGTGGAAATTCCATACATAAAATACAATGAGGCAGAGACCATGTTATATGTGAAGGTAGTTAATGGCTAAGGTGAATTTAAGCATATCTTCAAAATATTTTATTTCAGAGACATGAAAACTTAATTGCCAATTTCATATTGCAAAAATAATAAGTGTATTTAGATAGTAAGGAGGGTATGTAATAAGATGTAGATTATAATAAATATTAAAAAAGAAAACTCCCTGTTATTTATTAATGTCCTCCTACTTTTCCCTCTATAGCCTTTATATCTCCTACATCACTTAGCAATATTAGGCATCTGTTCTGTATTCAATATATACTCATTAATTGAGGTATCATTTTAAATATTAAAAAAGAAAACTCCCTGTTATTTATTAATGTCCTCCTACTTTTCCCTCTATAGCCTTTATATCTCCTACATCACTTAGCAATATTAGGCATCTGTTCTGTATTCAATATATACTCATTAATTGAGGTATCATTTTGCAGTAGAAAGTGCACTAGTCTGGGAGACAAAATACCTTCTGGCATTAACTAGAAATGAGGTCCTTTGGCAAGTAAGGCACTTATCATCTCTGGGCCTGTTTTCTCATTTGACAAATGGGGTAGTTGGACTGAATAATAATAGCCCACATGTATAGCACTTTACAGTTATAGAACCACAGAATTTGATAAAAGACCTTAGGACATCAGATGAAAAGGAATTCCCACTATAACATCCTCAATTCAACTTCTGCTTGGAGACCTCCAAGGAAAGAGAACCCACCACCTCTCAAGGCAGCCCATTCCACTTTTACACAGTTCTAATGGTTAGGAAGTTTTTCCAACTTCAAGCCCCATTGCAATTTCTGCCCATTCATTATTCCATGGTTCTGCTCTCTGGGGCCAAACAGAAGTCAAATCCCTTCTTCACATGACAGTCCTTTAAGTGCTTCTTCCTCAGTCTTCCCTCAATTAAACTTGTAACCCCAGTTTCTTCAACTGAAATCCCAAGGAGTTAGGGAGGAGGGTCAGAATAGCCTTGGGTTATTTTCTTAAGTGAGTAATCAAAGGCATTATAGAAGTGCTTGGTTTTCTGCCGGGGAGTTTAAAAGTAAAATGCTAATTTGAATTCCATAGGGAAGGGGGAATAAACTCCCAATACACAAAGCTCCTAACAAAGAAGGAAAGCTTTATTTATTAACACAGATATGTATATAAACATATATGCATGTATATATTCTGTAGTCTGCAGAATCACTTTATTTACATTCCTCAGAGGAAGGGGAACACTTGCACTTATAAAATCTCTAAGCAAAACTGTATCTTTACACACATAATAAGAAAAGAATATAGAACAGAGATTAGACATTATAGAAAGCAATGCAGCAGTTTTGTTGGCCCTATCACATAGAATCATAAAATATCATAGCTAAAAGGGGCCTTGGTGACAGTCCAGTTTGTGTGTTTGTCATGTAAAGAAACTGAAGCCCAGAGAAGTAATGGTTTGCTTTTGGTTATACTCTTTGGTAGGGGAACTCTGACCAGGATGAGAAACCAAGCCCTTCAGTTCTAAATCCAGAGCCCCTGCATTCTGTAATCACTATTCCATGGTAGTTCACCTATAGCTACTTCTTGTTCCTGTTCATAGGGATACAGCAGGAATATTTCCTTTTCTTACGGGCACTAGAATTACAGCAGACTAGGAATTAGTCATTTATCAGATCCATCAACCTCACACCACCTATTCTTATGTTGACAAATGATAAAAGCTGAAAACAAATGATTCTGAAAAGGGGAAGGGAAGAAAATGGAGGTTTTGTTGAAGACATCTCTAAATACAGACATTAACATCAAAAAAGACAATCATGTCCCAAACATCTTTGTTGATACCACACACAGAATATTGGGTTAGACAGATCATTGTTGTTTTAGGAACTGGGAAGAGGAGTAGGGTATACTGATTGTGAAGGATATGGAGAATTACAGGAATTTAGATAGTGGGTGTTTGGGAAGAAGTGCTGGGATTCAAAGATACTGAGGGACATGAACTAGGGTGAGATGGGAATCTCTGGTAGGTGGAGCTAGATGAGTGATAGGTGGATAGAGGTGTCTCAAGGAAGGGCAGAGGGTGAGATATAGTGTAGAGAATTATGTATGAGCTGGAGAAGATTAATAGACACCTGGTCCAGGGTTGTATGTGATAGGATAGGTAGAGAAAGTGAAGATAGGACTTTGGATAAAACTGGGGATAAGGAAGGGAAATTTTCTGTTACTTATATTTAAAGGAGGATTTGGGGTGGAGTGGTTTGAGAGTCAAGGCTGTGATACTCTATAATGGGAGAAGTGTGCATGTGTTAGTGTTGGAGGAAGGATGGTCTGCCTCAGGGTTTGATATGGTGGGAACTGGTGGGGAGAGCTATACCTTCTCTTTCCTTCAATCACTGTTCATTCTTCCTATGCCCAGCACCATAAAAAGTACCAGCATATCCACCAGAAATCTTTCTCCTGCCCAGAGCCAAGCTGTGGAAAGTCCTTCAATTTTAAGAAGCATCTGAAGGAACATGTGAAACTGCATAGTGGTAAGGACCACTCACTTCAATTTGACAAGTAAATGCTTATCAATAGGCTCCTGCGGGGTACCAGGCATAGTATTAAACATTGGGTATATAAAGTTAAAAAGAAAATAGTCCTTGCCCTCAAGGAGCTTTGGGAAGCCCTCAAAAATGAAATTGGGAGAAATTCTACTGGGGAAAAAAACAACATGAATGCAGATAATACAAAATATGTATAAATTAAATACAAAGTAGTTTTGGAGTATAGAGTACTAAGAACTCGAGAGATCAGAAAAAAAGCCTTGTGTTGGAGGTGATACTGAGCTGAACGTTGAAGGATGCTTAGAGCTTCCAAAAAGCATAGGCAAGTAGACTGTTAAATAGGGAGTAATATGAAATCAGTCTGGAAAGAAAGGTTGAATGAGATTGTGAAGGGCTTTTAAATGCCAAACAGATAAGTTTGTATTTTATCCTAGAGGAAATAGGGAGCTACTGCACTTCTTGAGGAAGGGAGTGATGTGGTCAGGTTTGTGCTTTGGGAATAGCAATGTCATTATTATATAAGGAGGCAAATGATGAAAGGAAAAACCTTCCTAAGAGACATATCCAAAAGTGGAATGGGATTCTTTAGAAGCCTTCAAAAGACCATTTGTGGCATGTTTTTCCCATTCTCAGTGATCTTTCAGAAATCACAGGCAGGGGCTCAGAAGCATATCTGCCAATTCTTTCAGTATCTGTGGATGTAGTTGTTTTGTACCAGGGTATCTGTGCACTCTCTTACTTATTTAGGGTATTGACTTCCTATTGGCCATTTTTGTTTTGTCCTTTCAAATCCAAAGATTATTTTCCTTGGCAGAGAAAACAAAAGGAAAATGAGGTTGAGCAGCTCTTGCCTTTTCTCTGTCATCAGTTATCATCCTAATTTATTTTATCCTTTCTTTGATTCTCTTTGCTTTTTATTCATTTTCCCCAATATAGCTAAAAATAAAAACAAGAATAACTTTTTTGATGTCATTACTTTCCTTAAACTTTCACTAACACTGAGAACTATTGCCATGCTTTTGAATCCACCCTCTTTTACCTGCCCTTGCTGTACATTAAAATATCAAGTGGAGTATATACTTGAATAAACATTAGTCTTTTTTTTTTTTAACAATTCCCCTTTTCTCTTCTCATGGGAATTGTTTGTTTGTTTGTTTGTTTTACTTCAAATTTCATTCTTGAGGGCTTCCCACATTTCCTGGTCTTACTTCTGTAGAATTACAGACCACGCAGCCCTTTCTCTGAATCCTTTGAAATTTATCCAAAAAATCTCTACTAAACATCAGACTATTTCTGGCTTTACTCTTTTCTATCACAGACTCTGAGATATAAGTAGTCACTTCTCTGAAGGTTCCCACAGTTTCCATATCAGTTCCTCCTTGTTTGGTGAAATCAAATCTAGAATAGAATAGAACGTCCCTGCGTTGACTTCTCTACCTTATGAACGATGAAACTATCATTACGTCACATTAAAATTCCACAAGATGTCTGTATAATTGAAGGGACATTCCCCCTCACCTGTATGTGATGCCTTTGTGCCAGACCCATGATCTGTTTTCCAGTCTCTTCATCTACAGCTTTTTGTCCTTGTGGTCTGTGGTATGCTCTGATGATAGTGTTATTTCTCTTTCTTCTTCACTGATTTTTATGCATGTTTTCTACCATGTTGTTCCATGCTGGTTCTTGTACTTCATAAGTATATTTTATGATATACAATACATAATATATAACACAATATATAATTCTCCAGTGTCTCCTTCACTACTAGTCCCTGCTACCCACTTCAAGTATCTTCATCTAATTCTTCAGTTCCATTTTTCCTTTCCTTTCTGTTTCATACCAACCCCCAAACCACCCCATTTCATCTACTCCAGTTTCCTTTCTAGTACCTAAATATCCATATAAATCCTAGTTTCTCCCTGCCCAGCATTCTCTCTTGTCAGGAATGTAGTATTTTTTCTCTACCTACTGGGCCTTCACAAAGAAAGAAATCTAGATGACTGTATTTCAGGGCAGAATAGGCAGGAAGACACTAAGAGACTCTTCTTTACCCCTGGAAGCTAAGGGGACAGACAAGAAGGTGGTGTGGGGAATGATAATGATTTAGAAATTTACCCAGGTTGTGTCCTTTATATTTTTTCAAGTACTTTCACACTTCCTTAGACTCTCAAAACAACCATTTTTGGTGGGAAGAGTACCTTTTTGACAATTAAGGAAACGAATTTACAGAGCAGTAAATTACTTGTCTGTGTTATCATAGTTAAGAGCCAAGACTGTAACTGGCATTCCTGTAGCCAATAGGCTTTTCCTCTGAATTTTCCCTGTAGCAGAATGAGAGGTATGGCTAGAGTAAATATACAGCAATGCTGACAAATTCTGGGATGTCTCCTTTTGTGCTTTCAGATACTAGAGACTACATTTGTGAGTTCTGTGCCCGCTCCTTTAGAACCAGCAGCAACCTCATCATCCACCGGCGTATCCATACTGGGGAAAAACCATTACAGTGAGTAGAAAGGGTTGGGGTGAAGAGTGTGAGGTACATGAGTACTTGAAGGAACTGGAGTCAAGATACCAGAATTCTGGGAGAAGAGAACTAGAGCTGGGGTCAAATGGAGAGACCTAGGTGCTGGAAGATAGGGAAAAGAAACTGGAGCTGTCAGCCTCAAGAAAGGACAAGGAAGGGGCAGCTAGGTGGCACAGTGGATGGAGCACCGGCCGTGGAGTCAGGAAGACCTGAGTTCAAATCTGGCCTCAGACACATAACAGTCACTAGCTGTGTGACCCTGGGCAAGTCACTTAACCTCAACTGCGTCACCAAAAACAAAACAAAACAAAACAACAAACAAACAACAAACAAGAAAGGACAAGGAAGAGGTCGGGACTTGAAGGAAGGATGCTAGGGTCCAATCTAATCTAGCAATCATTTTAGCACTTATTATGCAAAAGGCACTGAACTGTGAGCTGGTAATACAAAGACAAAATGAAAAATAAGGAGAAAAAAATATTGGGGAGGATAGAAAAAGCATATATGAAGCATTTATTATTTGGCAGCCATAGTGCTGAGTGCTGGGCATACAAAAACAAGCAAGTAAGAAGTTCCTGTTCCCCAGAAGAGGCCTGGTCAAAAGGGCAAAAGCTTAACTGTTAGAAGCAGGGGTAGTGCCAGGGACAGGCTGTGATGAGTGGTATCTCACAATAATGATGCCTGGACTCTGAACAGGAACAGGAACTTGGGCCAAATGTGAGGATACCTGCATCCCTGCATCCCCAGGATTCTTGAGGGGAAGGACGACTTGGGAAATGTTAAGGCTAACAGAGTGTGTAGATAGCAGAAAACATCTGTTTTTTGAGGACAGATGGTTAGGACCAAGGAGGGACCTAGACACCTTGGTTTCAGGATGACCTGGAGGATTAAGACTGGGTACAATGCTAATGTTTTGAAGGGCTTGTGGAATTGGAGGGTGTGCAGTTACTGGGATCTTATTCCTGACTCCTCTCTCCGTGACTCCAGGTGTGAGATCTGTGGCTTTACCTGCCGCCAGAAAGCCTCTCTGAATTGGCATCGACGCAAGCATGAGGAGGCAGCAGCAGCTTTCCAATATCCTTGTGAGTTCTGTGGCAAACGATTTGAGAAGCCTGACAATGTCATTGCCCACTGCAGCAAGAGCCACCCTGCCCATCGTCCTGGCCCTGGCTCAAGCCCCACCCTCTCAGAGCCCTACCCTTCACCCACTGTCTCTAGTTCTACTTCTACCATTTTGGAATCTAGCCTTTCATGTGAGTCCCAGAAATCTCCCCCCTTGGATTCTAGCCCTTCCTCACAGATCCAGAGGAATCAGACCTCAAGGTGTTAGGAAGCAGAGTGGAAAGTGGGGTGGGGAAAGGCAGGAAGGCCTTCAGGGTGACAGTATAAGTACATTAGTGCCAGTCATACCTTTAAGGGGAGCCAGAGGACTGGATTGCCTTGCTTCCTACTGCTAAGAAAGCAATAAAATTATTATTTTACATATATACTTAGTTGAGATTGAGTTTTTCTTGTTTTTTTTTTTTTTTTTAGATTTGAGTTTGTTAGAAAACTGAGCTGTAAGAATTGAGAAGCTATTTACTGGAGTCCCTTGAAGAAGTGTGAGGGGTCTTTTTTCTAAATACCCTAAGCCTTAACAATAATCTTACCTGCCACTCATCCCTGTTAGGGGCCTAATTTTCCTTTCAGGACCTACACGTTTAGTTTCCAGTTCTTCCCCATATGTCTTTTCAGAATGCCTTCCTTTCTGGAGGAGGTAAAGAAAGGCCCAGAAGAGGGAGGGAAATAATGGAAAATCTAGAAAATGGGTTTTGGAAGAGGTAGGAGATGAAGCATTAAGGTATGACTTCAGGAGATACTTTAGGGGGCTGTCAAGCAGGAAATGGGAGAAGGATCACCAGAAGTGTACAGCTTCTCTCTCCCAAGGACATTTGTTGGTTTGAGAGAATGATATTAGTCTAGACTATGGGAGAGAATGTCTAATGTAAAGAAGGTCCTTTAAACACTGAAGTGTGGGCATAACTTATACTTTAAATTCCTATAGATTTCAATAAACAAGGCTTGAGGCATCAGGAACAAAAAAAAACAACAACAACCTTTATTCTGATGACCAATTACAAGGAGAAAGGGATGTCTAGGGGTTTCTTTTGGTTTTCTCCATTTTTGTCCCTCCTCTTCAGTCTCATTAAGGATAAAGACTGGCTGCCAGGGTGCCCCCAAATTAGCCTCGCAAATTACAAACACTTCCATGCTCCAGTGGGGAATCATAACTGAAATATATGATAAATTCTTGGCTTATCCACCTTCCTCTTAATATATGAGGGACCCCAGCTATCACAATCTTGGGAGCTTAGGAGTTGAGTCTGCCAACATAGAGTATTTTGACTGAACCAGGATTCTTGAGGGGAAGGAGGACTGTTTGCAAGGGACCTCATGCAAAGAACCATTATCCCTTCCCTTCAATTTCATTGGTATAAGGCTATTTCTGACATGCACTGGTTTGTACTATTTTGCCATGTGGGAATATTTTGGGGGTCTCTTTCCAGGTCTTTTATATTTTCACACCTACCCTTCTCATCCCTTGTATTTCACCCACACCTCATTCTCTCAATTTTCTCTTTCCATTAACCCCACAGAAATGGAGAGGCCAATATACATGGAAATAGAGAAAAAGAAAGAGAGCAGACATAAGAGAAATATAGAAGAGGGTAAGAAAAGACAGAAAGCAAAAGAAAACCAGGCATCAAGGACAACTGGAGACAGGAATACAGAGAGGTGGGAAAAGACAGAATGAAATAAACATAAAGATGTAGACAGAAGAAGGAGATGTGGCATAGACAAAGAGGAAACAAACAGGCCAAGATAAAAAACATTATCCTTTAATAATGCGACTGGGATCTCTCTCCCATCCAAGCAGAGAGGGTTAATTCAACCTAACTTCCACTACAAACACTGATACCTATACTATTACAGAGAGATAATTCAGATAGGAATATGAGTAAGTGTAAAGATAGTAGAAGTGGCAAAGTACATACCCAGAAAAAGAAAAAGAAAACAAACACTGGAATACAGAAAACTAAAAAGGAAGACTAATAGCAAATGAGGAAAGAGATTGAGAATGCGGTGAAAGAAGATATACACAGGAAAGACAGGAGAAGGCAGAGAAAGCTCAGACCCACTACTATCTTTTCCCATTATTTAGTCAAAACTTTTCCCCAGACTTCCTTTTGGGAGGTTAGAGAGAAAGTGATTGTTTTTTACTTAGGAACCTCAGTACCTCTCTCCTACTCCTGTCACCCTCAGGCCTGACTTCTCTTGGCCAGAGTCTACTGAAAAGATCAGGGTAGGTGCTATCCCCACCAATCCACCTGCAGTGGCTCCTGCAGCTGCCCTGGCACGGGCATGGGCCCTCTGGTGCTGTGACAGTGATCGGCTATGGCTAAAGCACTTCCCACATTCAGCACACTCTGAGGGGCGTTCACCCTGGTGGGTCTTTCGGTGCAGTGCCAGTTTGGAGCCAACACTAAAACACTTGCCACATTCAGGGCACTTGTGAGGCTTGTCACCAGCATGGTTCCTCTTGTGAACATTTAAGTTGGAAATACATGTGAAGAACTTGCCACACTCCTCACACCGATACGGCTTTTCACCTGTGTGAGTACGCTTGTGCTTTGTGAGGTCTGAGCGATCACTGAACCGTCGGCCACACTCTTGGCAAGGAAAGGGCTTTTCCCCAGTATGAATCCTTTGGTGAACAATCAGGTCTGACCGTTGCCCAAAGCTCTTGCCACAGGTGGTACACTGGTGTGGCTTCTCTCCCTTATGGCTTCTCCGGTGCCTCATTAGTGTGGAACTTTCACTGAACTTCCGCCCACAGTCTGGGCAGGCATAAGGCTTCTCCCCTGTGTGAATTCGGTGGTGCCGTACCAGGGTGGCACTCTCTGTGAAGCACTTTCCACACTCAGGGCACTTGAATGGCTTTTCCCCTGTGTGTGTCTGCTGGTGTCGTGTCAGGGTTGAGCTTTTACTAAAACTCTTTCCACACACGTTGCACCGGTGAGTTCGAGTCATCCCATGTGTCTCCTGGTGGGCCTGGAGCTCTGATGCCTGTCTAAAGACTTCTCCACACACAAGGCACTTGTGGGCTCCCTCTAGCTTGGCTCCACTACTTCTCTGACTGTGGCTTCGCTTCTGGTGTGCAGAGAGCTGTTCCCCATTGTCAAATGCCCTTCCACACTGACTGCACTTATAGGGCTTTCCAGCCTCATGGACACGATGATGTTTCAGCAGACCTGAACTACTTCGGAAGTCTCGATGGCACTCACCACACTGATAGGGTTTTTCCTCAGGGTGCAATGGGGCAGGCAGGATAGGCCCTGTATGAACAGTAAACCTATCTCCACTGGCCTCTGGGCCTTTAGGAAGCCCACCTGCAGTGACAGCACTAGAACCACTATGGGTCCTCTCATAGTGGAAGACGTAGGCACTCTGACGGAAGTTTTTTCCACAAACAGGGCATCGGTAAGGCCTTTCACGAGGGTGATGTCGCTGGTGACAGTAGAGGGCAGAACGATAGGGAAAGCGTTTCCCACAGGCATGGCATTTGCAGGGCCTGCCTCGAGTATGGGTACTCTGATGCAGATCTAGATAGACACTTTGATGGAAGCTCTTTCCACACTCATTGCAGATATAGAGAGTCTCACCAGCATGTGTGCGCTGGTGGGCCCTAAGCTCTGCGTTCTGTGCAAAACCCTTACCACACTCTAGGCATCGGTAGCAGCAATCCCCAGCATGTGTACGCTGGTGGAGGTGCAGCACTGAACTGTAGCGGAAGCTCTTGTTACACTCAATGCATTTATAGGGCTTCCCTGCTCCATACATAGCTGGAAAGGGATGGGTAGAATACCAGGAAACAAATGATTTCTGTAACTGGATTCTCAAGGAAAGGGAGTCGGCCAGTTAGAGGAGGTATGTGGGGGATATTTTCCCCTGCACTCTGAGGGGTGGGTGTTAGTAGTGTTCTTTCCTCTAACACTGAACTTTCTGGTGGTAGGGAACCTGAGAAAGTACAGTGTGTTGAGTAACCTTTTTCTTATACTTTGCTTGCCTAAAAGCAGAGATGACAACTGCGTAGGGATAGATGTAAGCTTTCCTTGCTTTCTGGAGGGACTGTGGACAAGAATGATATTCTCCTGATAAACTTAATTTTCTTCTTAGCTGAAAGGCATTTGTCCACTTGAAAACTCTTCTGCTTGGAATCTTTATTTTCTTTCTATCATTGTCAGCTGCCTCGGTTGTTCTTTCATGGATTTTCTTCCCTATAAGGCATCAGGGGGTGAACTGGTGTACCCTGGAGAAGAATGAGAGAATCTAGCTCAACAGAGCAAACTAATACATAGGTGCTGAAGGACACGGATTAAAAGCGAGATTAAGCTTCCTTGAGATGTGTTTTGATAAAAGTTAGGAAGGCAAACTATAGCTCCAAACTGGACCCAGCATAGTGAATATATTCCTATTGAGTACAGGCAATATAAGGGTAACATGGCAGACTTGGATACACTAACTATAGGAGTGTAGCCAAATCTCTCTTAATTTTTGACCCTTTTTAAAAAAAATTATTAAATGTGAATAATGTCCTCTGCAGCTCAAATGATATAACACGTATAAGTATTAAAGCACTATATCAAAGGCTGTTGTTGTTATTAACAGGAGGCAAATTAAAAATCTGTTTATAATTTAGGAGATGCTTCATTATCCTTCAGCCATCTTACTAATGAGCCTCTCTAATTCAGTTAGGCTAGGACAAAGCTAAACTTGAAGCCCTTCTATGCTGGCACAACCTGTCAAGCTTTCTTCTATCATTGCTTTCAGAGTCCAGAGTCCACACTATAACAAAATAAGGTATCTGATTAAAGCTTTTGTGGAATTGTATTGCCATAACTCAAATTATATTTGTTATAATTATATTTATTTATAACTCAGCTGATTCAAGCTTAACTTCAGGTCATATTAAGAAATTTAACCCAAAGCAAATAGATGCTCAAAATTATAAATTTCATGGACAATTTCATGTATTTATATTCACCTCTAAATTATCCATGGATGAATCAATGAAAAAATTTTTAAATGGTTAACTTCTCCTAGCAGCATGCTAGGTTGATTCCCGCATAATACTCCATTTGGGTCCTAACCCTAAATTATGCTCTTGATTCAAAGAATCATTGAATTTTAGAGCTGGAATGGACCATCTGGTCTACCACATTATCTCCCCTACTCCCTCCAACCCCTATCCATTCATTTTATAAATAAGCAAAAAGAGACCAGAGATGCTCTGACTTGCCCAGTCAGCTAGCCCCACTCCCAAAGAACCCCTGAGTGAAGGATGGCCAGATAGCCAATATATAGCAGTTTGGATTAGTCTTGGCCCAGCTCCTTCATCTCTCAGTGACTCAGGTCTGAACCAGGCTGGAATTCTACTAGAATGTACAA